ACTGAACTTGGTAGGAAAGTTTTTGGGGCATTAATTAGTTATTTTAGGCAATTAATAATTTTTTTGGGAAAGAAAACTCTTGAATCTGACTAATAAAGATAATTACAGATATTTTACCACAACTATAAAATATTTTCTCAGATAATTATGAATATATTTGATTATATATTAGAGGAAACTTTACACGGGACATATAATGTGGGATAATCTTACACAAACCTGAAGAAACAAAAGGTTTTGACATTATTGATAAAAACAATAAAGCTGTGATGTGATAAGAGAAAAGTAAATAAACAGTAATTAATCAGTATTATAAATATAAATTGTCCTGAATGTTTAATATTGTGTTTTAATTAAAACCTGCTGAATCACTCAGATACAGCAGGTGGCGCTGAGAACGATTCCCGTTGGTTTACGAACCGTCAATTCTCCCACCGAAGAAGAAGCAGCAGCAGCAGAATAATGAGCAGCAGAAGAAGACAATATGAATGAAGATAACAGTTGTTTTCTTTAACGGTGATTAAATCTCTCTGCGTCACGTTGCCACGGTGACACGTGTTTACTTCAAACGGTCATAAACAGATTGTTGATGTTTATTTCTACCGAGCTAACGCTAACGGGAGGGTCTGCTAGCAACGTTAGCTGCTACCAAACACACTGAGGCTTCAGACATACAGATAATATATAAATATACAGAAATATTAATAAATATAAAGACATTCGTGTGCTTCGTCATTCACAGTGAAGCTGAGGCGGATTTGCGGCCTTCAGCTTCACTGTGCGTCTGTTAGTCAGCTCGGATCTAAAGGTTGCGTTTCCATACCAAACTCCATTGAGATTTCTTACAATTTAAAGTTTACAAGAACAAACAAATGTCAGAAATATGAATTAAATACTTCACCTGAATCAGCGACAGCTTATCTGATATTCGGCTGACATATTATACACAATAATACTCGTTTAAATAGATTTTAAACGTAAAGAAGTGGCTTGTTTGTCCTTTATCATTTCTCTTCCTTTCGCTAAAATTACACACAGATTTGACTGGAGCACCGTTTTAAACATTAGTGTGTATTTATGTATTTATTTCATACTTAGGTTAAAACAGATGTCAATAACTAACATAATATATCAGCTTATAAGTATAGAAAGTAAATGTGTGTCTGGGTTGATGCTCCATTGATTTAATATGTATAAAATCCTGGGTGTGTATTAGTCTGATGTTTAACCGCAATAGCCCAAAATCACCAACACAAAGAGCTTTATGGGTCCTTCATTTGCTCTGTCGTTAGTTTAGCTGCAGGTTAACATTCACACCTGTGTACAAAACCACCTTTCAGTCACAGTTTAATCTTTATTAAGCTGCTGTGTCCTGTAGGAATCACCTAATGCCCCCAGAGGTCGCTGCAGAGAGTCTAATAAACTATACTGTTTTCTACCTGAACTCCAGTGAACCTCAGAGGGAAACACTTTATACTGGACAGATTAAGGTTTTTACAAAGTGAAGGTTTTAAAATGTCATTTAATCAATTAGTTTGTCGACAGAAAATTAATCTTTGTTTCATTTTTTCTGTAAAAACATTTCATGGTTCCAGTTTTACAAATGTGAAGATTTGCAGATTTTTCCTTTAAATAATTGTAATAAATTGAACAATATTTTACTCATTAAACACACTTTCACTCTTCTCCTCTCGTCTGCAGCCGACTATGGATGAAGTGAACTTTGTCTCTCTTGCTGTTGGAAGATGTGTGGACGCCTGCTGCCTGCTGCTCGACCTGCTCGTCAGGACGTTCAGCTGGCTGTGTCGCTTCCTGTCCGGCGTGGGCGCTTCCCTCCACAACGCGCTGGTCGTCCTGAGCGGCTCCTCTCTGGTCGAATACTGGAACTTTGCTCTGTTCTCCTTCCTCACCGCCACTGAGGCCGTCTCCAGCGCCGCCTGCGGAGCGCTGCACGTTGTGGAGGGCTGGCTGCAGACGCTGGGAGGAGTGTTTGAGAGTTTCAAGATGGTGGGACACCTCACCTGTCACGTGGCGTGGCGAGTCAAGGACGTGCTTCACCGTGGGTTTATTTCAGGGAGCTGCATCCTGCGACAGACGTGCGAAGGCCTCTGCATCGCGCTCAGCCTCGTTCTCTACTTTGTCAACACGGTGGTCAACATCGTCCTCATCGGCACGCAGAACTGTCTGTCTGTGTTGGCGGGCGTCTGGGAGGTGGTGGCGGACCCCGTGCACAAAGTGTTGGAGCTGGCTCTGACTGCGCTGACCTTCCTGTACAGCTGTCTGGTCGGCGCCTCCGTGCTGCTGTGGGCGCCCTGCCAGCTGCTTCTCGACTTCCTGGGAGCGTTGGGCCGCGTCTTCATCACCGTCTTCATGGTGGACTCGCACGGCCTGCTCATCACGGCGGCCATCATCTCAGTGGCTTTGCTGTTACTGAACCCCAGGCTTCCTGTCCTCGCCGGACGCCTCGGCCTCCGTTTGGTCAATGCTCTCCAGGGAGCGTGGACGATACTGGAACAAGCTGTGGCCGATCGGGCGGCACACACCAGGACGGCGCACAGTACAACGAGGCTCCCGCACACAGACCCTTCAGTCGCTGAGACCGACCTGCCGTCAGCGAATGAACCGACCCAGCCAGACACTCCGCAGCTCCAGGATCAGCTGGACGACGAGTCAGCGAGCGGCAGCAGCAGGAGTGGTGCGTCGCGGCTGAACTCTACTCCGGTGGACGGCGACAGCTCTTCGACTGACAGCGAGCTGCTGAGCCTGCTGAAGGAGCAGGAGGAGAGGAAGAAGTGTGTCATCTGTCAGGACTTGAGCAAGACTGTGCTGCTGCTGCCCTGCCGTCACCTCTGCCTCTGCCGGCACTGCACCGACATCCTGACCCAGCGCCGACACGTCCAGCAGCGCTGCTGTCCGCTCTGCCGGCAGCCCATCACACAGACCATGGACGTCTTCCTCTGACGGCCGGTGGACCAGAGATACAAGCTGCAAACTGAAGCACATGAAAACAGAAAATCTTAACAGACTCTCTGCGATATAGTTGTTTTTTCTGTAAAATAATTAATAGTAGGTCAGAGTGTCAAACTCATCGACATATAAAAGATGGACGTCGCATCTCCACTTCCTGCCACTGTTCAAATATGAAACCAAAATATCCCAGAGGAGGCCTCAGCTGAAACCGCCTTCAAATAACTGATTAAAACCAAACTTGAACAAACATCAGTGCGATAAGAACGACCTAAAATGACAGGAACAATGTTCGGATGTGATGTACTGTGATTGTTTGTTTAGGCTCTGTTTACACAGAAAGGGGAGCTTTTATTAAAATGAAAATGTTTTGCATTTTAATAAAAGCTCTGCGTCCTTAATTTACCTGATGTTGCCACCAGGCAGTCGAGATGTTTTGGCTTTCACTTTAGGGGAGCCTGGTCCGTATCGTCCTGTCTTTATATTCGGATGGTCTCTTCTACTGTGTGCCAACTAATGCTATGTGTCTTTATTCTTTGTTCCATAATTTATAATCAAAATCAGGAAACATTTCTAACTTTACTCAACAGTATTTGTGTGCACTGACGTTTAATCTTAAAACTTAAAAACCTAAATATATTTATGTTATTTATGTTCAGCTTTAAAAAGCCAAAACAACAGAGAAGCTGTAAAATCTCTTGATATGTAAGAAGTTCATAACTGCTGATTATTACTGGATTAATAAGCCGAGGATTTGTGCCAAAGACTTTGCTGCAATTGTTTTTGTACTTGTGTAAAACTCAGTGCCTGAATTGAACCAAAAAAGGTGCCAGTACCCCCGTTCACCTCAACCCTGTACAGTACAGTTATTTTCAGTTAATTATTTATTTATTTATTTA